AGATGGGCTCCATGCCAGCGTTTCAGCCATTTTTCTTCACCAGTGCTTTTCCACTGAATATGCAAGGTAAAACCTTGTTGTTTACGTCTTTTGCTCAAATACAAAGCCTCACTTCAGTGCTTAAACTTAAATACACATAGAACTGCGCAAGCTGTTCAAAATGATTTGCAACTGTTTTGCTCCTGTAAGCAGAATGAGCAATTTAAATGACACACTGACCTCTTTTCTCTTAGCCTGTAATCATGCCATTATTTAGAAGTCATGATAATTTGTGTTAAAGAATATTTCACCTAGCTGTTGTTGTAGGTATGCCCAGAGGTATAGCATTGCTTGTATGTTTTAATATTGATCTCCTTGGGATATAGGTGGGAGTTTTATCCTCTGTGCAATTTGAACTTTGACATTGCTGGGACATTTCAGCATATAGAGATTTGTGATACACCTTAATCCTCTGAGCATACAAAGAGTCTCAAAGCCAAGCGGGTTTGATGGGGGTGTTCCATTTACACTATGCTGGGATTGAGACACAGTTGACTGTTAAATTGCCAGGACATTACTTTGTATGGAGAACCTGTTTTTAGCTGTGCTTGCAAAATAGACACAAATATGTAACAGTGAAATTCAAGGTGATCCTCTCAAGCTTTAAAGATCTAGTTTAATTTAAAACACATTTACCGGAACCAGATTTCAGCAGATCACAGTATTCTTGACAGCCTGGGTGACCTTCAGATATGTTTCCTAGCACCCTTTCCAGCATGGCCCTCAATAAGCATTTTAATATTTCTGACTGGCATTGCAGAGCTGGTGCTGAAGGTGCGGGTCCAGAACCCCAGTGTGAGAGAGAATGACTTTATCGAGGTCGAGCTGGACCGCCAGGAGCTGACATACAGATCCCTGCTGCGAGTGTGCTGCCGGGAGCTGGGGGTCAGCGCCGACCACGTGGAGAAGATCCGGAAGCTTCCGAACACTATGCTGCGCAAGGCAAGCGAATCCCAGCGCTTTAAGAATTGAGTGTTAAGTTAGACAGGAAGCGGCTAACTCACAGTATTCTTTTTCGTAGAGAACAGGATTTTTTACAGCACCAGGACACAGACCCCATTCTGTAGCCAGCAGCAGGTCGAGCATTTTCAAGCTCGTTTGAAAAAGAAAAAAATCTGTTTAGATAAAGAGAAAAAACAGTTTTTTATCCACCCTTTCAAACATTTTCTAAAATTCTTACCATTTAGGGTGGTAGGGGGAGTCGGGGCCTATCCTGGCAAGCAAGACAGGAAACACACTGCACTAAAGCCAGTCCATCACAGGGCTCACACACAGAAACAAAACGGCACACACTCACCTCATGGCCAG